GCCTGGTCATCCCACGCAGCCTGCTATTCAGTCGGTTGGTCTTCCCTCACTAACCCCCCTTCGGTCATTGCTGTGACGGAGTCCCGGACAATTTGCATATCCCTCTATTATTAGTATAGATAGAACATGTCGCTGCAGCAAGATGTGTGCCTCTGTGGTCTAAACCTGTTTCTAAGTGACAGCTTGAAGTTTGGCCTGGTCTAAAAACACCTTTTGAGGAAGGACAGATGGTATAGCTGCTATCTTCAAGGAAAAAAAGAAAAGTGAGATTATAACCTTATATTAAATGTAATGAGGTGAAGTAAAGATGTCCTCTGAAAGGCTGGTGAGAAGGAGACAGAGCAGGAAATAGCTGAGGATTAGGAAAAGATCTTTAGTTGCGGTTTGATCCATGGTCTATCTCTGGTCAGGGTGAGTATGGAAGGCAACCGATGGATGTTTCTCTCTCTATCTCCCTTTCCCTTACTCTCTCTCTCTCTAAAATCAATAAAAGCATATCCTTCGGTGAGGATTAAAAGAAAAGGAAGGTTTGGTGGTTTTGAAGTCACTGCTGGTCTCTTTTTGTACAATGATAGGGTTGAAAGGATCCAGGAAGGTAAAGATAAAGTAAATTATAAAGAAAATGAATGAGAGAGATGAAATATTATCTATAGGAGTACCAGGGTTGAATAAAGGCTATTTTTCCCCTTGTCTTTTTTTTTTTTTTAAATTGGAAAATGAGCACATCTGTAGGCAGAGGTAAAGAAGCCTTTGGAGAAGGAGGGAGAGAAGGTACTGGAGAGTAGAGGGTTGATTACTGACTGACAGATCTTGGAGGAGTCTGGAAAGAACAAGATAAAGTGTATGGGTTGAGGTATAGACATTGGGAGGGAATATTTAGAGGTCAGAGGAGAAGGAGGACAAAAGATGGGTGAGGTACAGAGGAGTTTCCTAGTGGAGGACAGATGCTATGGGAGGATATGCCACATGACCTCAGACATCTTATTAAAGAAAGGCAAGGCCATCATCTGGGATGAGGAGAAAGGAGAGAGGAGGAAAGATGTGGTGTAGTTTCAGTGATAAATAGTTAAAATGAGATAAGTTGCTGAGTTTTAGTGAGGACACAATTGAGGATAAACAGTTACTTTTAATTATTGCCTTTCTTTAGTAAAACTCTTCTTTTTTTTTTTTTTTGCTTGAAACAACAAGAGAAAATTTCATGAAAGTCTGCTCTCAGATTGTAACAACTTTTTTTTTCCCCCCTCATAACCATTTTCAGGGACCTTAATGACTTCAGTGTCTTTAAGGCTCAAAACATGGGTTTACTATTGCCAAGAATTGTGAAGACTTCTGTTGTCAGATACTTTATGCTAATGCATATCTTGGATTCAGAAATACAAATGATGCCCTGGCCAGTGTGGCTCAGTTGATTGAGCATGGTCCATGCACTGAAAGGTCGCCAATTCAGTTCCCGGTCAGGCACATGCCCAGGTTGTGGGTTTGATCCCTGGTTAGGGTGCGGGCAGGAGACAGCCGATCTGTTTCTCTCTCACATCGATGTTTCTCTCTCTCTAAAATAAATTAAAAAATTAAAATAAAGGAAATATAAATGATGATGGTATTGTTACCACTTATAGCTGGATCACATAAAAGATATACATATATACACACACACATACACACACACACACACACACACACACACACACACACACACACTTAGGACCTGAAGGTATTTTCAAATGTTACAAGAAAACAGAATCTCTCCAAGGACTTGTTCTAGGAATGTAGGTTGGGATTACGCCAAGCATATCGCTTCTATCACTTAGTGGCATAGTTTTGCATGACACAGTGTCTGACTCCTCTTGTTTCTGATTTCCTCTGCTTCATATGAAAGATATGCTCTAGGTTTGGAAATACACCAAATCAAGAAATAGGCTGATGTGTAAAAGTTGTTTGACTCAATCCAAGAAGACTTTTAATTTTTAGAATTTGTGGTGATAATAAAAATGAAACATTACATATAGATATTGGTGACAGTTCAGGAAAGTGAGACATTAAATTCTATGTGGCTAACATTAATTGTATTTCATAAACTTGATGAACATGTATAGAACAAAGCAGAGGATTCTGTAGCTAAGACAGATCCCATCCTTTTACCAAGGTGAATACTTCATGAAGGAGGGGTTTGAGAACCAGACATTGTAGTAGATGTAGAATTGAGGCCGAATAGGATGGTATTGGGCTAAGAGTGAGACTTTTGGTAAAGAAAATGGCATGAACAGAGATGGGACAGAGGTGGAGATGTGGGACATATTTAGGAATATTCTTTCCTTGGTTTCTTTTTTGAAAGTAAAGCCTTTAGGTAGTTGCTCATTGATACTATGGAGGACACAGTCCAGACAACATAGCATCTTTTTTTGTTTTGTTTTACTTTAATGGGAGTTGTCTGGTTTTACCTGCTACTCTTAAACTGGAAAGAAACTACAAGAGACACGAAGGTCTTTACATTTGAACAGTTGGTATCTCAGTTCAGTTTAACTGTACAGTGTTTTCAAATAGCTGTTATATATAAGATGATGATGAACAAGATAAAAAATCCTGCTCTCAAAAATTTTATATTCTGTTAAGAGAAATTTTACTATAGAAATTTTAATTATTAGAGCAAACTGTATTAATGCTCAGTATATTAAACTGTATAAGCAAAACAAGTTATGTATATTTTATATTCCCATTGTGATTCTAGAGCTGCACTGTCCATTATGTCTACCACTGGCCACATGTGGCTGTTAAAGTGAATGAAAATTTAAAAAAAATTAAAAATTCAGCTGCACTGTCATATTTTGAGTGCTCAGTAGCTGCACATGACTAGTGGATACTGTACTGGACAGCACAGATACCGAACATTTTCATTATTGCAGAAAGCTCTGTTGGGAAGTGCTCCCAAGAGTTTTAGAACGGCCCTGGCTGGTTTACTCAGTGGTTAGAGCAGGGGTGGGCAAACTTTTTGACTCGAGGGCCACAATGGGTTCTTAAACTGGACCGGAGGGCCGGAACAAAAGCATGGATGGAGTGTTTGTGTGAAGTAATATAAATTCAAAGTAAACATTATTACATAAAAGGGTACGGTCTTTTTTTTTTTTTAGTTTTATTCATTTCAAACGGGCCGGATCCGGCCCGTGGGCCGTAGTTTGCCCACGGCTGGGTTAGAGTGTCGGCCTGCAGGGTCTCAGGTGTGATTTCTGGTCAAGGGCACGCACCTCAGTTGCAGGTTCCCCAGCCCAGGTAGGGGTACATGCGGGAGGCAATCAATGTGTCTCTCTCACTGGGATGTTTCTCTCTCTCTCTCTCCCTCCTCCCTCCTTTCCACTCTCTAGAAATCAACGGAAAAAATAGCCTTGAGTGAGGATTACAAAGAAAAAAAAGGTTTGGGACATATTTTAATTGTTTGGGTCACATGATTGGCTAGTCATTCATCTCTTCAACCTTCTTTTTTTAAAAATATATTTTATTGATTTTTTACAGAGAGGAAGGGAGAGAGATAGAGTTAGAAACATCGATGAAAGAGAAACATCGATCAGCTGCCTCCTGCACACCCCCTACTGGGGATGTGCCCACAACGAAGGTCCATGCCCTTGACCAGAATCGAACCTGGGACCTTTGGCTCTATCCACTGAGCCAAACCAGTTAGGGCTCTTCAACCTTCTTTAAATGCCTCCCATGTGCCTGGTGTTGTGCTAGAGCCAGGAGATAAAGAAAAGTCCTACTTCCTGCCCATGTGACCTTTCAGTCTTGTGGATGATAGAGATGATAGATGCATTAAATAGGATGTGACACATGCCAATGTCGGAGGAGAAGTCCAGGAGGCTGTGAACATAGTTAAGAAAAGGAAAGAAGCAAAACGCAAGACTTCCCTCGGGAAAAGTGAGTGGGTATTGGCTTGGTTAAGCTGGAGAGAGTGAGTGAAAGGACGATCCAAACAGTGAAACACCTCGACAGAAAAGAAGATGGCACAGCTTAGGTACTGAAAGATGGTTCCTGTGACTGGATAATCTCTTAGGTCTCTTAATTCAGTGTCATTTTATGATATATTTAAGATATTGTAAAAACAGGCTCCTTCCTTTTTTGAAACTGGAGGGAGAAAGGTTCCTCTGTTTGGGGAGCCTCATATAGGCACCTTATCTGTGTAGATCCCACAGTTAGAGGAGAACAACAACAACAAAAAAAGGTGAAAAGAAAAGAAATTGGAAAAAAGAAGGAACAAAGAGATGAAAATGGCCAGAGGAAGTTTCAGAGAAATAAAACAGGTAACATTTGATGGGGAATGACAGTACCGTTTATAACACTCAGATTCCCGGTCTCTAATCAAAAGTTCAGGTCAACCATTTCAAAAGTTCATGTCCCTGGATGGTTAACTGATATCACAAAGTATATCATGGGAGAATATTTTTGATGGGAGATTTAAAAATTGAATTTCTATCTTGATTCACTTCATTAGAAATCATAGTAGAATTTTCTATGCTATATTCTCAGGAGACTATGCATTTATAGTGTATACAACCTGGAAGAAATGTGAATGCTATTATTTCATTTTTATATGGCAACAAATAGTCACTATAAGATTAAAACCCAAGGTTACACGAGGAGTCAGAGACAGAGCAGGATCAGGACACAAAAGAACTGCATCTTTACCCCACCCCCACCAATTCCAGAGACCATTCCATGTATTACACAAAATCCACTGCACATCATAAATCTCTCACATTTTGTAAATATTTAGCTGTTGTTGATTTATTTCTGCCCACTGGCAGCCATCATGTCTCTGCTCTACACTGTGAAAGTCTGTTTATATGTCTGTGTCGACACCATCTGCTTTTGCATGGAGGCCTCTGGAAGGCAGGAATCATGTCTGTTTACTTTGCATAATGCTGAGCATAGAGCTGTGTACACGAAGCTTTCTTTTTATTTGATGACAATGATTTCCTTTATGCATTTCTTTCCTTTCCTGTCTTCAGATTGACCAGATCTGCTGATAACTATTAATCCAGTAGAATTACAGAGAGGTGGAATTCACTGCCGACTGCCTGGTCAGGCGGGCAGCAGAAGGTCTCACACAGCTCTCTGAGGTCTCATGCCACTGCAAAGAGGTACCCTCTTGTAAAAAAGATGAAAAATACAAAGACACCACCCACGTTGGTTTTTATGAAGGAAAAATCTGGTGTCTAGTTTTACCACCAAATGCTTGTCAAATAAACTTGGTATGAAATCAAGACTGAATATAGTAAACAGAAAATTCAGATAAAAGCTGTAGTGAAGAAACACTCCTCTTTATTTTCTCCCCTGTTCTTATTTGGGGCAGGCTTCTGGAATAGTGTTGGAGGGGGAATGTAAATTCGGTGGAAAGGAGCTGGAGCCAAGTGAATAGTCTCAATATATTTTTGAAGATGCTCCAACTCTTGTTTTAGTAAAAACAAATTTTACTACTTTATCCTCCTTCACAGTGTCATCTATTTAACTCACTAAATTGTAAAACAGGGCATCCACACTGTGGACAAGATTATTAAGTTTAGTTTTCTTTGTTAGAATGTTCCAGACACTAAAAAGAAACTTCCTAAACTGACATGGTAGCTTTTAAATAATTCCTTTAAATCCTTTCTTTTCCTCCTTATCTTGCCTTGTCTGCCCTTTATCTAGATTTAGCATGAAATTTTTAATTATATTTCAAGGAACCTTCAGGGGTTACTAGCTACCTTTTTTTGCTATATCTTTTATTGTCAGTTTTTCACGTTCCTCATTTTTACTTTAACCCATTATAAGGGACATTTCTTGTATTATTTGATTTCTAGATTCTTCAGTTTTATGTTTATTCTGTAACCTATTGAGGTTTATGTGTGTACAATAGGAACCAATGGCCACTTAGAACCACTCCTGGAATTTAGGTTATGATTTTTGTTATCTCACAATGCTTGTTTGATTCTCCTGGCTTCCTTTGGTCAATACATTAGCACTGAAAAATAAAGATAGCCTTTATCAATTATATATTTGCCTGTTCCTGCCAAGAATCATCAATCATATATTTGCTTGTTTTTGCCAAGAATAAGACCTTCTTTGTAAAATCACTTTATAAACTTTATAGAAATACATAAAGTTAATATTCTATATTAAACATTTAAATGGACTACTTGGCAGAAATAATACTGTTCACCTACTGAGCAAATGAGGAATCAAGTTCAGAGAAGCTAAATGGCTTATTCAGAATTCACACAGCTTGCAAGGAGCTGAGACTCAAATCCAGGAATGGTTTGACTCCACTTCACTTGATCTTTCTATGACATCATTTTTCTTCTTCCTAAAAAAATGTTTTTTCAAATCTTTTATGATTGTTTTCTATAAATCACATTTGTTTTCTTAACCATCAATGAAGGTTCTTGTTGTTTTTTTAGTTCAATATTTCAGATAAACAACATTTCAGAGCCTGTAGTTTTTATCTTTCACTTTGACCCTGTCCCAAGGTTTTAGGAATGTGCTAGCATCAGAGTATACGTATATTAATATACCCACAGTATATCTAAGAGGAAATACATTTAAGAGAGCTATCTTTCCAAGAATACTGAGTGGAGCCTAGACATATTAAGCAATAATTTGCCAGACTGAGAGGAATTTCCTTCTCTATATGCAGTTCTGATGGAGAAACTATATGAGGTCTGTAATTGCTGAACCCCTGAAATAGAAGAACGAGATCAGTCAGGAAGAAAGCAGGAGAGGTTTTCCCTCACATTCACTATGTGTCTGAAACGCAGACTGTGTGCTGGTGATCAGATTGCCGACACTTCCTGTTGTTCAAAGACTACAACTACATGTAGCTTGAGGAAAAATATTATTCTTGGAAAATTATACATTTTGGGTCATTGACATAAAGATGTTTAGTTCTTGGCTGGATACTTCACTTCTCTTAAAGCGGTAGCTATCATGTCAAGCAAATATCTTAGAAACAGCATAATGTAGTTGAAGGATACCATCCCACCAACTTTATTTAGACAAATTATTTCCCTTCTTTGGTATCAGTATTTTTATGTAACATGTGATTGACACATACTTTTTACATTTACAAATAACAAAACTTTAAAAATAGTATTGTATTGATGAAAAAGAGATTTCACAGGACTGAGGAAACAAATTGAAGACTAGCACAACACCACTGAAGAACTAAGTGATATGGAACCAGTAAGGAATAGAATATAGGTAGCTGAAAAGTTAATGCTTTGGAGCAAGAGCCTGAAATAATCACAGTAAACACAGGTACAAAAGACTAAAGCAGTTTAGTTGACAATGATAGGACGCAATGAATCAAGAGGATTACTGGTGTCTGTGAGGAAGAGGACTCAACAGATTGAACTAAAAGTTTTTAGAGAAGTGATACAGCAAAACTTCATTGAAACTGAAAACTAAATCTGCAGATCAAAAATATACAGTGGAGCCTTGACTTACGAGTTTAATTCATTCCGTGACGGAGCTCGTAACTCAAATTACTCGTATGTCAAATCAAAAAGTGAACGAGTGAGACACGTGATGCTGGGCTGATGTTGTGGCGTTCACTGTGACGTT